AGCTTTCAAGCAAATAAAAAACAATGTCTCTAGCATGAAAATTGACCGACTTATGATCAAAATAAGATCGGTACCCGCTTTTTTATACGAAAAATATCTGTGAAAACAACCCCTAAAGTACTAGTAATAAAAATTAATCGCCATCCTTCTGTAATTCTCTTTATATGTACTATTAATACACCCACGAAGTTTGACCAATTTAAAGTGCCAAAGGAGATCGGCGGAAATGGGCAAAACCGTTACAGGAATGAGAATATCACTAAAATTCATTAAGCAATTTATTAGAATTTATCGTAAAATATTAACACCTTATTCTATGGGACAAGAAATGTAACATTAATTTAGTGTAACGATATTGATTGCATGACTCCTTTTTTTTGTAGTATGGCGAATCCGTCGGGGGAAAATGTTGCTCACAGCAAAAGTATCGATTTAATCGATTATGACATTTCCGCTGTTTTACTTATTGATTTTGTTGAATTATTCTTTTTTACACAAACGTCAGTCTAAATCTTTCCAAATTAATGATAAATAAATAAAATGGTGCATATTTTGCAATTCCTTGTTTAAAGGTAGCCTAAATTATTTTTTGGCAATAATCAATGTAGCGTTTAATCGATAGTAGATGCTACACTTGTTTTTAAACTGGCAACAATAAAATGTCAGATATGACATTCGAATCGCATCTTTTCGTTCGGTTGCGGTTTCGAGTTGTTTTTTTTTGTGAGTTTTACGTGGATTTTGGGATTTCCTATTATTTTCAACGACTCTCGCTACTAAATACGGACTCTGACAATTGCTACTACTACAAACAACCTGCGCCTGCACAACGGATATTGATTACCTACCTGAACGACTGACTCCGGCTTCTGTACTTGGACTCGGAAGATTGCTTCCGATTGCACATTTTACAAGATGAACACACAAAACTGCATAAACTGTGGCATCAGTTCTGCTCGTAGCAATGCTATAGGCATGCATTTGTTGGTAGATGAAGCAATACTTTCACTTGTACAACAGTGGATTGTTCCTCTTACGGTTAGTATTTCCTAGAATTTCTGAGTTCAGATTCGTGTAATAAGCCCTTTAATCCTAGGCCCGTATTAATAGATCGCTCTGAACTCTGAGACTATGATCTTGAGATACTGTTTAATACAAAATATGGCTAAAAATTATCGTTGTAACGGTTAGGCCCAAGGTCCTATGGAAGTTCGCCAATCTCCTTTTAGAAAAATTGGAGTTTCAAGAGAAAACCGATTTTTTTCAATTTCGTGTTTTTCACCATTTTCTTAAAAACATCTCCCAAAATACTAAAGATACGAAAAAACGATATAGTACAAAATTGTAGCTTTTTTAATGACAAAAATTTCCCTGTGTGCATATTTTTTGTACAGTGAATATTCGGCGAGATATAGCCGTTTAACACCTACATTTACGATCGAACATCACCTTATTCAAGCGCTTTAAACTCTCCCCATTTAAAAATTAAGGGATCTTAGTTAATTTGATTCACACAGTCTTTTAGATTCGTTTCTGAAAAATATTTTCTATAACCTAAAATGGCGTATAAGGGGTGCCGCCTAACACCCAACGGCACCCAAGCCAACCTCACCTGCCCGCGGTGTACCCTGCCGACCAACGGACGAGGCTCTGGCGCTCCCCACTAACCCGCACTGGGCCAGCGTGGTGGGAGACGGCCCAAAACCCCCCTAAAATGATGGTACATAATAAGAGGCCCCAAGTGCCCGGCGGTGCTGGAGTCCGTGGCGGCGCTGACGGACGCCAACTCGGAGCCGGGACCAGGGGTGCGAAGAATCCCCGGGCGGCAAAAATCCCCCGTCAAACGACCTTGGCCCTGGCAACGTACAACGCACGCACACTGCGGACCGAGGAGAAGCTGCTGGAACTGGAGGAAGAATTGAGCAGGAATCGCTGGAGTATTGTAGGACTATCTGAAGTCCGAAGAGAGGGCGAGGACACGATGGTCCTTAAATCCGGCAACCTGCTCTATTTCCGGGAGGGCGAAGATCTGTCCCAGGGTGGTGTCGGGTTTGTTGTCCACAAGTCTCTCGTGAACAATGTTGTACAGATTGGTAGTGTGTCGAATAGGGTGGCGTACCTTATACTCAGAATCACCAAACGGTATTCGTTGAAGGTCATACAGGTATACGCTCCGACCTCGACGCACCCCGACGAGGAAGTGGAAGTCATGTATGAGGATATTTCTCAGGCAATGCATGCTTCCAGGACCCATTACACCGTTGTCATGGGGGACTTCAACGCAAGGCTGGGCAAACGTGGCGATGATGAGTTGAAAGTGGGGCAATTTGGAGTTGGAATCCGGAACTTCCGAGGTCAAATGCTAGCCGACTACATGGAGAAGGAGGGACTCTTTATGATGAACTCCTTCTTCAGAAAACGGCTGCATCGAAAATGGACCTGGAAAAGTCCGGATGGCGTGACAAAAAATGAGATTGACTTCATCATGTCGACTAAGACTCGGATATTCAATGATGTCTCAGTGATCAATTCGTTCAATACGGGAAGCGATCACCGAATGGTAAGAGGCACATTGAATCTAAATGTCAAAGCCGAAAGGAATCGACTGATGAAGTCCACGCTCCGTCCTGAAGCCATCCAGATCCAATACCCCGAGCGCTTTCAACTCGAACTGCAAAATCGCTTCGATTGCCTAGAGAGCTGCGTAGACGTGGACAATTATAATGACAGGTTTGTTGAAGCTGTCCTTACGGTGGGCTCGAAGTTCTGCAAGCCCATCCGTACCAAAAAACGTAGCAAGATCTCGGAGCCGACTCTCAAGCTTATGGAGAAAAGGCGTGAGATGGGTCTGCAGTCCTCTGAAGATGCACGTCGGCAGCTCAATAGGCAGATTTCGAAGTCTCTGACTCGCGACATACGCCGCTTTTATACTGATCGTATTAAAGAGGCCATCGAGCGGAACAAAGGCTCAAAAGTGTTCGCAAGAAATCTGTCTCTTGGACAGAGTTTGCTGACGAAGCTGAAGACAGAGGACGGCAGAATCATTTCGTCGCAACCTGAGCTTATGGCTGAGATCGAAAGCTTCTACGGACAGCTATACGCGACATCACGAGTACCTGTCACAAAGGCGACCGACCCAAGAGCCAAATTAACCCGACACTACACCGAAGATATCCCGGACGTCAGCCTGTACGAGATTAGTGTAGCTCTGAAACAGCTCAAAAACAAAAAGGCGCCGGGTGATGACGGAATTACAGCCGAGCTCCTGAAAGCAGGTGGACGACCAGTCTTGAAATCTCTTCAGAAGCTATTTAACTCTGTCATACTCGAGGGCAAAACGCCTAGCGCATGGCATAGGGGAGTGGTGGCGCTTTTCTTCAAGAAGGGCGACAGGGCCCAATTGAAGAATTACAGACCCATCACGCTCCTGAGTCATGTATACAAGCTGTTTTCGAGAGTCCTCACGAATCGTCTCGCGCGCAGGTTTGACGACTTCCAGCCTCCCGAACAAGCCGGATTCCGAAAAGGGTTTAGTACCGTAGACCACATCCATACGCTGCGGCAGGTTATACAGAAGACCGAAGAGTATAACCTGCCATTATGCTTGGCGTTTGTGGACTACGAGAAAGCCTTCGATTCGATCGAGAAATGGGCCGTGCTTCGGTCACTCCAAAGGTGCCAAATAGACTATCGATACATCGAAGTGTTGCAGTCGTTGTATGAAAACGCCACTATGGCAGTTCTACTCCAGGACCAAAACACGAAGCCAATCCAGCTGCAGCGTGGTGTAAGACAGTGTGACGTTATATCACCGAAACTGTTTACAGCTGCGCTGGAAGACGTTTTCAAACTTTTGGACTGGAGCGGACTTGGCATCAACATAAACGGCGAGTACATGACGCACCTTCGATTTGCAGATGACATCGTAATCATGGCTGAGACCATGGATGACCTTGGCACAATGCTCGGCGACCTCAGTAGGGTGTCCCAACAAGTGGGTCTCAAAATGAACATGGACAAGACGAAAATCATGTCGAATTCCCATGTCGTACCCACTCCAGTGACTGTTGGGAGCTCTACACTGGAAGTTGTTGACCAGTACGTATACCTGGGACAAATAGTCCAACTGGGTAAGTCCAACTTCCAGAAAGAGGTTAATCGACGAATCCAACTCGGCTGGGCAGCGTTCGGGAAGCTACGCAGCATCTTCTCGGAACATCTACCGCAGTGCCTCAAGACGAAAGTCTTCAATTCGTGCGTGTTGCCAGTGATGACATACGGAACCGAGACGTGGCCGCTTACAATGGGTCTTGTAAGAAGGCTCAAAGTCACCCAAAGGGCAATGGAGAGGGCTATGCTCGGAGTTTCTCTGCGTGATCGAATCAGAAATGAGGAGATACGCAAGAGAACTAAAGTCACCGACATAGCCCACAGAATTGCAAACCTTAAGTGGCAATGGGCAGGGCACATTGCTCGCAGGACCGATGGCCGTTGGGGCGGAAAGGTCCTCGAGTGGCGACCGCGTACCGGGAAACGCAGTGTTGGCAGGCCCTCCACAAGGTGGACCGACGATCTGGTAAAGGTCGCGGGAAGCCGCTGGATGCGGGCAGCATGGGACCGATCGTTGTGGAAATCCATGGGGGAGGCCTATGTCCAACAGTGGACGTCTTTCGGCTGAAATGATGATGATGATGATGGACCTAAAATGAAGGAACTATGCTTAAAAAACCGATCAATTTTTTTTCGAAAAAGATGTTTTTTATGAAAATTAAGAAAGGTTATGAAATTGTATCCTAAAGCATGAAACAATCATTTTTTAACTATTTTTACCCATATTTAGGTTTTTAATTTTACAGGGAGTAGGATGTTCTTCAAATCCTGAAGACCTGAAGCCAATTTTACTCTGCTGTTCTTTTAAGGTCATCGTCCCGCGTTTTGACCCCATAGTCAGCCGCTCATGACGTGGCATGATATTCAATAAGTAATACAATCGGGCTTACAGTGTACGGCGGCACCCATCCGTAGTATCCTTGCGGCGGCGGGGCGTAGGCGGGGGGCGGCGCCGCGTACCACCCGCCCGTGGGCGGCGTGTACGGGGGAGGCGGCGCGTTTGGCGCGTTGTGACGTGACGCTGCAATACAAACAACGTTTTATAGCTACTGTAAGCATCATATAGGTTGGTTGGAACTTAAAATATGGATGAAAAGTCAGTGGGAAAGTAAAAAAAACTTAAGGATTTGATTATAACTAGCTGCCCCAGCGAACTTCGTACCGCCATAAAATAATGGGGCTTGGTGGTAGAAGGGTGAAAATTTAGGGTTGCATGTGTTTTTGTATGGTGTATCATAAAAAAATAAAACCAATAAATGTTGTCCTAAATAAAAAAAAATAAGGGGGACCACCCTTAACATTTAGGGGGATGAAAAATAGATGTTGTCCGATTCTCAGACCTACTGAATATGCATATAAAATTTCAGGAAAATCGGTCAAGCCGTTTCGGAGTAGTTCAATTACGCACACCGTGACATGAGAATTGTAAATATTAGATAAGTTGAAATAAAAGTCGTGTTTGTGCAGTGTGAATTTTACTACAAGGATCATGTATTTTATTATTAAGAAAGTGATTCCGACGTAGCCCGGGAGATTACAGTACTACTACGTTGGTAGAGACTGAGACTACAAGGTGGAAGTGGAAAGTAAAATAAATACCAGAAAATCCATGTATCAAGATATATACATACATTGAGAATACACCGAGAAAACCACAAAAGTCTTTAACAGAAACTGTAAAATTTACATAACCATTTTCAGTTGAAAACTTCTTTTTATCTAGAAGAGTATAAGTGTAAACATCTTTAAATCATTAAAAAAAATGACAACCAGCATTATGTTTTCTTTGTTTTGTGAATCAAAACCAATTAAAGTTCCTTTCATAAAAGTACTAATTTAATATTTTAATTTAGTTTATATTCAAACTTACAAATTACTTTATCAGGACCATAAATGGTATCTTCACTGTTATGTGACAAACTGCAGTGAAAGAAATTAATGACCTATTGTATAGTAATATTGCTAACTTTTGTTATGAAAAATTTATGACATAAAGGGACAAGTCAATTGTCCATAAATTGTTTGTCCCAACTTAAAAAACTACAGGTCATTGCTTAAGTTACATTATTCTTTAATTTTTGATTATAAGTACAATTTTAACAAAGTTTAGCAGTTAATAGTGAAGTTAAAGAGAAATTTTCACTGTAGTTGACATTTCTATAAAATTATGATTATATTTTTTTCATTTTAAATTTTTTTGGGGAAATTATTAACCAAGTCCTTTGAATGAAACACATAGATAAGAGCTTACCAAGATGGGCAGCTTTCAACATAGCTTGCCCAAACTCTATGGCTCCACCAGACTTAAATGTTAGCTTGAACTTCACTTCACCTATGAAGTTACCATTGGGTTGAGCATGTATCTTTCCTTTTATGTAGTTGGCACCAAACATTGGTTGCTCTACTGTGACCTAATTAGACAAAAAAAAAATTATTGGCATGTATCCCCTCTGCTTTGAAATGTTTTGTTAAACATTTTGTTATTATAGTTTTGAATGGAGACCTTTGATTTTTGCCCAATTTTGTACCTTTTGTACAAATTATCTCAAAAACCATATCAATAAATTCAATAGAAAGTGATTTAGCATTTAACAGATGACAGCTAATACTATTGGTTTAATTTCCTTGCCTTGGGTACACATGCCTTTTAGCCAACCCTTTCAGTTATATGTATTTTTTTTTTGATAGGTTTACATATATTTTTTTGTTATATTCAAGCTTTTCCTGAACTGTTTATGGTAAAAAGGTCTCTTTAAATAGATTTTTTTTCTGGCGCTTCTTGTTTTGCTCGCTCGGCTCGCGCGTTATGGTCACAACACTACACACCTAATCTAACCTAGTGTGAAGTATCACCGCTTGGGCCCTGGAAGTACAGTTTAGCCCTGATTATTTTTATGATTTCAAGATTTTTTTTTATTGTCACAATGACAATTCAAATAAAAAACATTTTTGAGCAAAACATGTATTTTGTGAGACGTTACACATTTTTTTGACTTTGAATTTTTTTATACTACCTGTAATAAGGGAACATACACTATGAAATTAAAATATAAAAAAATAATCATGCATATTCTATATTGGGGTATTGATTCAAATAAAAAAATTACTTACATCTGCTAGTGCTATAAATGGAAAGCTGAAGGACCTCATGGGATCAGAAATATTTTTGGAATTATAAATCATCCGATGTGTTGTCAGGTACATACGACCATTTTTTGTTCCTTTAAATTCTGGTGTATCATTGCCATAAAATTCAACTGTTACATTGTCAGAAAACAATATTATACTGAAAAAAAATACATGGTTAAAAAGTGTCACTTTGATAACCCCATACTTATACTTTCAATATAAATAAATGAATATTATTATCTCAAGAAAAGTTTACTAGAAAAAAAATCCACGCGGACCAGGCAGCGGACGGGATTCTGACCATTATGCTACCACTGCCCTATTAGCCGCGTCGAAATTTTCCTAGCCTTAAGCTGCAAGGCAGCATCATCTCCCTGCATTGTAGGTAACCCACAATGTCAAATGAATACTTTTTCAAGTATTAAACATTTGAAAGAAGAAATAGCAATTATAGTTATGATTTTATTTATTTTTTAAGCATTTAATTGCTAGATGTTTAAATCTAAAGAAAAGTTTACTAGAAAAAAATCCACGCGGACCAGGCAGCGGATGGGACTCGAACCCGCATCCTTCGCTATCCGGGCGAATTCACTGACCATTATGCTACCACGGCCCTATTAGCCACGTCGAAATTTTCCTAGCCTTAAGCTGCAAGGCAGCGCCATCTCCCCGCATTGTAGGTAACCCACAATGTCAAATGAATACTTTTTCAAGTATTAAACATTTGAAAGAAGAAATAGCAATTATAGTTATGATTTTATTTATTTTTTAAGCATTTAACTGCTAGATGTTTAAATCTAAAGAAAAGTTTACTGGAAAAAAATCCACGCAGACCAGGCAGTGGACGGGACTCGAACCCGCATCCTTCGCTATCCAGGCGAATGCACTGACCATTATGCTACCACGGCCCTAATAGCCGCGTCGAAAATCGATTTAAACATCTAGCAGTTAAATGCTTAAAAAATAAATAAAATCATGAATATTATTACATAATTTGGTTTAAATATGGAAAGGTGTAAACTTTGCCTTCCATATGAGAAAAAAAGTTATAGTACATCTATTTCTACTATTTATTAGTAATGTAATATCAGCTGTTTTACAATAATGAATAACACTGTTATTTTCTAACAACTGTTATTGTAAACTGTAGCCTGTTATCCTGTTATGTTGCTGTTTTGCTACTGAACTGGGAATCTTATTATAAAAATGTATACCTTGACCCATACAATTGTTGATAAATTGCGAAATAATGGTCAAAATCCAGATTCCTTTAAAATTTTCTTGGAGAGATTCTCATGAGCTTAATTGATAAATAGCTATTACAGCACTGCAAAATAAATATTGTTTCGATATCTCTGCTGTTCCCCAGAGAATAATGCCATATAATACAATACCATGAAAATGACTAAAGTATACAGTCCTAGCAGTATCTACATCGGAAAGTTGCTTCATTTTACTTATGGCATAAGCCGCTGAACTAGGTTTACCAGCTAAAAGTGAAATATGAGGATCTAGATTTCTATGGAATGTTCCATCTGCAAATCGATGATAAAAAGTGACTCACCATTCTCCTTGATGTATCAATACTCCGTGATCAGCATGTGCCGTATTTAGAGACATAATCAATGTAAAAAAAGGAAGTACCAACGAAAAACAATAAGAAAATCACAAAACAGGTAAGATATGCGTCGTTTTTGTTTTATTTGTAGAAGGCAAAATATTTTATTGTCTGTCACTTTCCGGATAAATTAAGGTACTCAGTGGTGTCGATTCTAGCATGATTCTCTAATCCTAAACTTAAATTTGACAGCAGTATATCCTTGTCATTCTCTATACAGAATGAGAAGGAGAGACTGATGTTAAATTTAGTTTTAAGTTTAGAGAATCATGTCAGAATTGGCACCACTGTAGGACACGAAAAAAGTATCGATACTTTGTGGTATTGAGTACTTTTCCTTTCGATACCGATATTTTTGTACTCGATACTTTGTGTTCGATACCTTTACTAAATGAGTACTTTTTGGCAAGTATCGATACCTTTAAAAATTTGGATAAGCGCCTCATATTGATGGCAACGCCATCTTGTTAAATCATAGCAAATCTTCTAAAACGTTCCATAGAGTATTTGACAAGTTTCAGGCGACGATCTCACGTTATTGACTAATGTTTATGGAGTCCGTAAAAAGTGGATATTCATCGTTCTGTCGTGTATTTCAGTAAAAATAATCAAATCAAAACTCCATTTTCAAGTTGCCGATAAAACGTTTCTCTGGACAATATGGCGTCTTACTAGTGTGTGACGTCACACGACTGTTATTAAAACGTCAAACGATACAAAGTAATGTCACTTTGACCGGAAGTTTACTTGCGTGTGACGTCATTTTAGGCTCCGCCAATCCCAAGCGTTTTGGGTTACGTGACAATAGATAAGAAAACTAATATCTTTTTCGTTATTTTGGCACTTTATTTTTAATACTGTCAAATGCCCTATTGCGTTGTTGTAAAGTCAGTAACTGATATATTTAAATTCTTTCCAATCTGTGACTGTGTTTATTTTGCGCTTTGTTTTGTTCCATAGTTATTTATTTAGCGACCATATTGTTAGGAACTGTGATTGATTCGCCGTTTACTGTGCTTTTCGCTTGACTGATTTATTCTAGTGTAACACTATTATTCTGTCTGTTCTGTGTATACCTATTTGAAACCACCTGAAAAAAAGACGGACGTAACCTCTTCTATAATTATAACCTTGAGTGAAGCATGCCAATGGCAGCCGTTAACTACGTAGTCAGATTCAAGTTAACATAAGTGGGTATAATGTTTTTTAATTATTAAAATTCAAGAAAAGTAAGTTTAATTTGAAACAAATCTGAAAAGTTTCATACTTTTAAATTGTTTAAGATTTCGATCTTTTTTATTAACATTTTAATTATGAATGTAATATTAATGAACAGTTTTAGTGACAGAAATCACAGCTATTTTCTTTTCATTATATAATATAGCAATTAGTGAATTTACATGTCCTTTTTTTGTTTTTGATTATACGTACTATAATAAAATTCGATTGTTTTTCTTTCAATTTTAACACCGGGGGGGAGGGAGGGGGGTTGCTCATCAGGCCACATAGGCTTCGATAAGGCCCTACGAAATGTACTCGATACTTTGAAGTATCGATACTTTTACGAGTACGATACTTTTTTACCGATACTACTCATGAGAACAGTATCGATACTTTCTATTCGATATCGTGTCCCTGTTTCAGCGGTGTCGATTCTGGCCAGAGCTGCCAGATCAAAAATCCAATTGAGCGCTAAAATGATATAAAAAGCGCTAGATTTCAAGAAAAACGCGCTTTAAAAAAGCGCTAGATTACGCGCTAAATTAATTTCAGTTTTTTAATCAAAAAAAAAACAGATAAGAATGAACCAAAACGTCAAAATTTCATAAAATTTTTGTTAATCGAAATTCAAAAATTATCTTCCATAACTTAAATAGGGCCAGCTTCATTCCGGCCATTCATGTATTCTTTGACTTACAATATTTTTCATATGTCCCAATTCTATCTAATCTTTCGCAGAATGTTTAACTACGTGATTTCTTTTTAACTTCCACTAAAATTTAAATATGATTTAATGAAAACAAAACCATGAACTAATGGCAGAAATATTACTCCTATTTTTTTTCTGCTTGTTGGGTACTTGTTTACTAACACGTTCGGGATTATTTTTTCTTATAAAAGTAAAGGAATTACGGTTGATTGACTAATATTTTGTGTTTTTTGTACGTGGTGTGTGTTTTACTAATACTGGTAAGTGTTTTGTGGCGTGTTTTGTAGCGTAGATGGACGTAGATAATGTGCCCCCTGACGGGGGCGGCGGTCGCGCTGGCCAAATGATAGACCATATTTCTCGTAAGAGAACTTGTCCTGAGACGACTGATATCCCGGCCAAAATGAAATCGGTCCTTTCAAGTGCTTCCAAACAGCATTCTTATATCATCCCGGAGTTTGCGGAAGGTTCTAAACTCACATACTCTCAAACAGATATGGCCCCTTGCATTGTTCATGTATCTAGAACTGAACCCGATCCAGCAACTGGTCTTACTATGAGACTGCTTAAGTTTGCTCAATTTCTACATAAAAACAGAGTCTCTGGCATTGTAAAGGAAGGTATAAAGACATCAGGACGCAATCGAATTTTTTTAGAATTCATGGATGCTGACTCTGCAAACAATTTCATCACAAACCCCTCCTTTCATGTGACTCGTCAGGGCATAGTCCGGAACATCCCCATTGACTGGTCCATGGAAGAATTAGTTTGTAATATTGAATGTCCCCAGATCAATTCCCGTGTTTATAAAGCAAGGAGGTTGAACAGAAAATCTGTCCAAAACGGTGAAACTTTATGGATCCCTACCTAGACAGTAGTAATCTCATTTAAAGGACAGACGCTTCCTGAGAAAGTTTACTGTTTTAATGCTTACCTGCCTGTGGAAATTTACCAATTACAGACAATACAGTGTAACTCCTGCTGTCGTTTTGACCACATTAAGGCCCAATGCAGATCAAGGCCAAGATGTTACAAATGTGCCCAAAATCACCCTGGTGACTCTTGTTCAGTCCCAGAAGATAAAGTTTCATGTATGTTCTGTTCGGGCCCCCATATGGCCACAAGCTTCAGCTGCCCAGAGCACAGTAGGCAAAAATCAATAAAGTTAGTCATGGCAGAAGAAAATATCCCATATTCCGAAGCATCCCTCCGATTCCGCCCTATTCGTCGCACCTTTGCTGATACATTAAGATCAGCCTCCCCTCACTCTATGACCTCCTCCCCAATGTCCCCTTCTCAGAAGCATTCTGATCCACGCCTATCACAAATTATAACGTCCCCTAACCGCCCATCTGTATCATCATACAAAAAAACTTTACACATTCCACGCTCTCCAAAACCAACTATGGGTAATGGCTATGATACTGAAGCCCATAGAAATATCACTAGCACACCTAAATCCAGCCAACATAATGGCTGTGCTCTCAATGCATCTGCAGAAGCAGACTATGAAGAGTCTGCCAACGACAACTTTGCCGATCTATTAATGAAACTCCTTCTCAACTGTTTAACCCGCTTTAACGATATCCTACCGTACAATGGCTCAGAAATACTGTACCGATTTCTATATACAAACCTTAATAATGGACCTAAAAATTCTCCAGTGGAACAGTAGAAGTATACAGAATAAAAAAATTTAATTAGCTAATCTAGATAATCTTTACAAAATACATGTAATTGCAGAAACATGGCTTAAAAAAAGTTGTAGGTTTTCATTGGCAGGCTTTACATGCTTGCGAGATGATGGACCTGATGGCTATCAGGGCTGCGCACTTCTTGTAAACCGCTCTCTCACCTATGTCTCTATCCCCATACCTCAACACTCCGGCTTCTATATTACAGGTGCAAGCATCGATGGTATTAATATTTTTTCTGTGTATATCCCTCACCCCTCTGCTAGTATTCTAGACTCCTTAGAAAATATCCTCTCCTCTTTCCGGGGCCCCACTATACTTCTAGGAGACTTTAACATCCATCATACCTTATGGGGATCCTCTTTATGCGACTCACTGTCTTCCCAATTCCTAGCCTTAATGGATAACGTCAATCTTTGCCTTCTAACTGATGGCTCCCCTACTCGCCGCACCTCTCCTCTCCAAAACCCTAGCGCCGTCGACGTTTCCCTTGTATCCCCTTCCCTCTCAACAAGTGCTATCTGGCGCGTCTTAGCGTGCTCTCATGGAAGTGATCACCTTCCAATCCTCATTTCCTTCACTCATCAGGTCCAAGTATCTTCTGATCCCTACCCTCCTCTATGTAAATTTAAACTTGAAAAAGCAGATTGGCCCCGATTCCGCGATATACTGGACTCAAAAATTAGAAAGGTTGTCTCCGCTAGTAGATAGTTCAAATTTTGATCACCTTTACAATGAATTTGTTTCTTCCTTGCTCTCCTCTGCAGAATTATCAATCCCTCTGAAAAAAAAAACACCTGGCCGGAATAGATCCTCTCCACCTTGGTCGGACTCTGATTGTACTCAGGCTATTAGACAACGCAACGAAGCAGAGCAGACATATCTTAATGATTTAAGCCTTGACAACTACCTAAACTTCCAAAGAGTTAAAGCTTGTTCCAAAAAAATTATCAGAAGTAAAAAACGTAAAGGGTGGACATCATTTTGCGAAAGCATATCTCCACAAGCACCACTATCATTAATGTGGAAAACAATAAAAAAAATTAGAGGGTCTTTTTCGGATTACCACCTTCGCCACCTTCAAAAGATTCCTCTGCTTGGATCGAGGAATTCATGGATAGACTGGCACCTCCATTTGTCCCAGATAAAGATTTTTATGAAAACAACAATGTTCCCCTATCTCACTCAATATCTTTGCACAATCATATCGATGACCCTTTTTCCATTAATGAATTATATGCAGTTCTCACTCATTTACGTAACTCCTCGCCAGGAGTAGACGGGATACCCTACTCATTTATTAAAAAAATGACCGAAAACTCTAAAGTATTTTTTCTGGCGCTCCTTAACAAAATTTATGATTCAGGCATAATTCCTGACTCCTGGAAGCACCAAATAATTATCCCAATTTTGAAACCTAATAAAAATCCTAACGATCCGCTTTCTTATAGACCTATTGCCCTATCCTCGGTACTAGCTAAAATCATGGAGCTACTTATTAAAAATAGACTCGAATGGATACTCGAACATAATAATATTTTA